ATCGACTGTTGTTTGCTGAAATGTACGATGTGAAAATGTGATTGATCGATTGGCTCCGCAGATTATACAATTGTTCCCAGAATTTTTCAGTGAGGAACGCCATTTTTGCTCATCTTCCATACACTTTGTACAAGTTACTGTTGCGGCGATGAAGTTAACTTTATGAATTCGTCTTTCTTCATCTATGTTTACATTTATCTTTTCATTTTGCGTTGCTTCAAAGTCAAACGTTACTAGACGGTAAGGTGTTGATTTTTTAATCTCCAAAGGCTGAATAAAGCAACCTCTATCCATACTATGATATTGTAAACAAGTTTGGCACCATTTCTGACCACATACGTGTTTCCTTTGATTTCCTCTTTTGATATTCTTCATCGACCAGATTACGCCACATTTCTCACATTGTTTTGTTTGACGACAGTTGCTACCTTTTTTATGGTGTTCAAAACAATCTTTATTTAAGTATTTTTTCCCACATTCATCACATTCTTTGAAAAAGTCAGGTGATGCCACACATGGTCTGTCTCCCCCTACACGCCCGCAGAGATGGCAACGCGATTTACATCTCATACTATGCTCCTTGTCTTTTCTAAAGCTCTTTTCGCAGGTAAAGCAATATTTTACTCTTAATCCGAACATTCCACCAACATTTCTTAATCCATCGAAATGATTATTTGAGTGAAAAATTGAGATAGGGACATTGAAATTTTCATTTCCATATTTGAATTTAGGCTTCTCGTTTACACTTCCAAAAACAAATACTTTAAATTTATAACCTGTATCCTTGTATTGATTATTCCAAAACTCGACAACAGCAGGCACATAATCCACGGCATCATATTCAGGGAGATCTTGTGGGATTTTTGCAGCTTTTAACAGATCAAAAACATCTTTCATTTGCCGATGGTTATTTTGTAGATATCTACTAAAATTTCGTCTATCCCCCAATTCTTTAATCACATATTTTTTTGTAATTTCCAACGCATAGAATAAACATAAGTTGTTAGGATTGACAATTTTAATAAATAATTCATCCCTTAGTTGAGGAATTTTTGTTCTATTGCCTTGTGGTGCACTTCCTCTAATTGATTGATTTTTTGGAAGTGCTGAAATCCCTAACGTCTGGATTTTTATTGTGAATGGCTGACCATACAATGATCCCTTTTCTATTTTAGACTGAGAAACTAGCTGGAATCTGGTTAAAATGTTGTCCACTGTATCTTTTTCCAACTTTCTAATAGGTATCCATATTTCGTTATCAAGCAACTGTGAGGAGATTATAGCGCCTAATCGATCAGGTTCGACTGATTGATTCCTTGATTCCTCCACAGTTTGATCAATACAGTCTTGAATAATTTCTCTCAACAACTCCTCTGGATTCTCAGGTACTTTTTCAATAATAAACTTCCCTGTTGTTGCCATCATTTTGAATTTTCGGTTAAATTCAGTTTCGTAGTCGATTTTTCGGTAATTATTTTTCAAATTTTTTGCCCCCTCACCGCTTTGGGTATTATTGAATAAATGGGGAAGTAGATTGCGGATGAGGAATCGAGGGCGTTTGTTTGCAGATGCCCCGTTTTGTCCATTGTTAAAAGACATTTTAGAATAGTTTTATGTGAATTGCTTTTTTTTGTTTATATAAATCAAATGATTAAAAGGATAAAGAAGCAGTGCTTTTATACTCCTCATTTCATAAGTGTGGGCCAATTAGAAATATTTTCATGTCAAGGTCAAGAGAAATTAGTTAAGCATATATTTACTTAAAACTCATTAATCATTCATTGATCTTTTGAGGTAAATTAAAATAGAAGGAATTCTTTATAATTTTTAGTACAACATTTCTATCATTTTCAAGATGATTTTACTCCAAAACTTATAAATCGTTTGGGTTTTTGGGGTAATGATTCAGTAAAAGAAAAGTTTAAATTAAAAATCTGCTTTGGCTTATTTCATATTTCAAGGTCATTTGGTTTTATAAAAATTTCTATAGATTCAAGATTATTGCTTTCAAACCCTATGAAATTTAAAGTAAATTTAAAACTCAAGTCTTTTCGAAATTTTGAGATTTTAATAAATTTTAAATTTTTAGAAATTCCCACAAATGTATAAGTAAAATTTTCTTTAAAAGATATTTTCAGTAATTTTGGAATTTAATTAATTACTTATTTTCCCTTGATTCTTCTATAACACAATTTCTTCTATACCACCCTAAAGATCAACATTTATTTATGTGATGATCTAAAGTAATTAATAAAGTTTTTTCTTCGTTTTGCATTTTTAAATTTGATATTTAAAAAAATTTCAAAAAAAAAATCAAATAATTTTTGTAAATTATATAAAATTTTTTGTTAAAATTTTAAATTTATCATTTTCCTCATTTACCCTTATTTAATCAATATTTTTAGTTTTAAAAATTTTTACTTTTTTGAACTTTAATTTTTTATAATTTTTTGTGTATTTTAATTTTAAAATTTATTTTAAAATTTTAACTTGTTATTAATAACTACGTTTTTCAAAAAATTTAAATCTTTTCAAAAATTTTTTAATATCCACGAACAAATGAAGAGAAAAATTTACTCTGAAAGAGCTATTTTAAATTTTTACCGCAAATGACCTTGCGAGAAAAATAGTCAATATAATTATTTTCCTTTATTTAATTTCTTCCTCCAGCCCCCTGCCAAAAATGAACGAGAAATATATAAATCAGATAAAAGTTTGATATAAAGTTTTGAATCAAATAAATATTCAACACTTGTACCTTGTCATATGTCAATCAATCAAAATCAATTTATCAACTCCCACATGTAGTTGTATCTTGTCACAACAATGACAACAGAAGATTACAGCAGAGAATAAAGAAAAGTGTACCAAATCCTTAGGTTTCCTTTTGTTTTCCCGCTAGTTCCTCTCAAATTTCCCACTGGTACATGTGGGAAAGGGAGAAGCTTAATAGCGGGAAACATACATCCCCTTCCCCATTGATCACCTTCATTCACCAGCAAATTTGCTTGAACTTGTACAAAAAAAATTTCCTTTTGATAGGTTTCCTTTTGATTTACCGCCAGTTTCTCTCAAATTCCCCACTTGGACATGTGGGAAAGGGAGAAACTTGTTAGCGGAAACTTACATCATTTTCTCCTTTGATCACCTTCATTCGCCCACAAATTTGCTTGTACTTGTACAAGAAAAGGTTTCCTTTTAAAAGTTTTCCTTTTGTTTTACCGCCAGTTTCTCTCAAATTCCCCACTGGGACACGTGGGAAAGGGAGAAACTTAATGGCGGAAACTTGTACTTGTACAAGAAAAGGTTCTTTTTCGATAGGTTTTCTTTTGTTTTACCGCCAGTTCTTCCTAATTTACCCAGGTGGAACATGTGGGACAACAGAGAAATTTAGTTACAATTAACTACCCCCACCTCCCTTTGTTCATCTCCTTTCAGCCGCAAAGTTGCTTGTACTTGTTGTCAAGGTCACCCAACACCCATCGGTCCCACTGGGACGGATGGGAGATGAAAACCCCTTACACCTTAACACATCCCCCTGCCCCCGTCTCACATGCGACATGTGGGCGTATGGGGGGGGTTTACTACTTGTTACACATTTATCATGGATTATTATTATTATTATATCTCATATGTAACTTAAATTCGCTCGTGATGGGTGTTGTTCAATTAAATAGGTGCTGAAATAAAACAATCTCGGATGGAACCCAAACGAGACCTTGATCAGTCGGTTTCAATCCAATAATGGATATATCTAGATCATGCCATTTCAGGTTTTTAGTGTATACCTGTATCCATTTCCTCTAAATTGGCAATATAACAGCTCGAATTCTTGCAAATATTATCAAAACCACTTTTCCTCCTACAAAAATAGTCATAATCTTTTACATTATTGCAGCGATGTGTGTAGCATTTGTTGCATGTTGAAGAAGCACAATGGCCACAACCTTTTTTTACTTTAAATAATTTTATTTATTAAAGTAAAATAATTAATTAAAAACATTTATTATCTTCTGTTCTCTCAGTAAAACAATTGCTAGTAGATGGAGTTTTACATATTTCTTCATCGTTTAACCAGCAATGCATATCAACATGTTTTTCTTCGTTACAATATTTTTTGTTACAGGTGAAACAATCAGTTGTACTTACATTTTTTGGGCATATCCCACAACCTTGTTCTACTAAAATATTTTTGAGCGAATCATGAAGGCATAAGAAGAGTACTTATTAAAGTTTGCATAAATTTTTTTGGAAAAAGCCAATGCCTTTTTCTTTAACTTTATAAGTAAGCTAATAAAAATCATCCTTTAATGCTTCCATTTTGGATATCCCCTTAATCTTTCGATATCTCGAGTTACTACATAATCACTCCATATCCACAGGTCAAGCATGGAAATTATATTAAAATAAAATGATGTGTTTATCGAAATACAGTAGGTTCAGTATCAATAATCACTGAGTTTATGGTGGTTTTCAGTGAATTCAAGCTGTATTTAGTGGACAATTAGGGGAATACAATTAGTGGAACATTAAAGGAGAACTGACCGCTTAACAGGCATCTAACCCGAGTTTAACATTAAAAGCTTATCGAGTGTGTGAAGTGATAATATTTTTAAAACTAAAACAAACATTTTCCATCAAAATGTCTGTGAACATAGCATTTCTGGTTGCATTGCTTAATACCCTTTTTTAACTCAATCTCTTCTTTTCCCTTATTAAAACAAAACAAAGTTTTGTAAAATAAATCTTTTGAGTTGCAAAGAGGCTTGTTACATTTAGTATAGGGAGTATCATTAAATTCTCTTGGTAAATCTCCACAGCCTTGATCGACTATAATTTAAGTGTTTAACTTGGATAAATTCTAATATACATATATCTGAAGATTTCCAGTGGTATTGCTATTTTTAGAGGTATTGTTATTATTTCAATTGGATATATGATGCTATCAGACATCAGTTATAGAGATTGTTATTTTTGTCGATCATTATTATCTAACTACCCTTCCATTCCGATCTGTAGTAAGAATGTTGATTGGGGATAGGGTTTAGTACGAAATGGTTTATGTGTATATGAGGATAGTAAATACATAGTATAGTCTCATAAAGGTGAAGAGAAAATGATGAGAACTTTAACTCTCAGCAAAAAAAACCTTCATCACGGCTCAAGTGACAAATCATTTATCTACCTTTATTATCAAAGTCTGAAGCATAATAGCAATTTGAACCATATCTACTCTTATCACATTGCTCAACAATATTATCTTTGCCCCAGCAATAATTAACTTGTTTAAAAAACTTTTCTGAATTGCAAAGAGTTGTGTTACATATTCGGCATGGAATGCTAGTTGAATTACATTTCCCACATCCTTGTTTAGTGTATTTGTTCAACGAGATTTGTTCTGTTTCTCCTGAAATGTCAAAATATTTTAGTAAGTTACATTTAGAACGGGGGATGTACATACCTTTTAAGAGATCTCTAGAGATAAAGCAAGTTTTTTCAACGCAAGGTCTGGAGCCTTCCCTCTCCTTATCATTCTCCCCTCTTTCATAACAAAATACATTTTCTTCTAGTTTATTTCTAGAATTGCATTTGAAGCCGCTACAATCTATACAAGATTTGTCTATTTTATTTCCATCACAAGTACCGCAACCAGCATTTAAATCTAAAACCTTGTCTCCTTTTTTAGCCCTATTATTACAAACCTTTATCAATATAACATTCAGGATTTGAGCATTCTAACAAGCTCGTACCATCAGAATTTAAGCAATAGTAGGGGAAATTTTTCCCATCATTACAACGATGTCCTGTACATGTCTTGCATGCTGAGGAAGTACAATTTCCACAACCCTTGTTTACTTAAAAAACAAAATTTGATATAATTTTTATGTTTTACATTCATTTGTCTTCGTTCTCTCAGTAAAACAATTTTCATAATATCCTGTTGAACAAGTCGAACCATTATTAGTCCAACAATGTTTAACCCCAATTTCTTTAGTATTACAAAAATTTATTTTACAGCTTTTGCAATCAACATCTGTGCACTTCCCACAACCTTGTTCCACTACAAAAAAACGGTACTATTCCTTGTCTAAACATGAAAAAACAAACATTTTCCATCCAAATATCGTCTAGTAAAACATTCATTATTACATTGAATAACGGAACTTTTTGTTTCATTCAACTCATCCTTTCCTTTATTCAAACAAAATAGGCTCTCATCTAACAATTTTTTAGTATTGCAGAGGTGTTTATTTTGGCACTTTGCTGCCCGTACATTTGATTCATTCCATGTTTTATTACCACATCCTTGTTCAACTAAAACATAAACTAAACTCCTTTCATAAAAATAAATATCTAACGCATAAGTCTACTGTAGACCCATAACTAGTCTTATGACAATCTAATATAGACATAGATAGAGATCGAGATTTTAAAAAGCCTGGACCTGTTCCTGAACTCTGGAGTTGATTTCTTGACCTGGACTGGATCCTGGGCCTGTAGTCCAGGAAAAACCCAGGAAGGTCAAAAAATGCCTGGCCCTGGACTCTGGGTACAGGAAAAACCCAGGCCTTGGTCCAGGGCAGCTCGATCTCTAGACATAGACACATGACTGAATGTTAAAAACTTCTTCCTGATTTAATTAATTGTTATTTCTCAGAAATCTCAGATTGAATTAGCTTTGATTCTTTTCAGTTTCTCATAATGTTCCTTGTCTTAAAACTCTTAGGCTACGTTAGACTTTTTCACTACTGTTACACCTATATTATCATTGATGACAGCATAATAACATATCCTTTTGTGTTCTGAAACACTGCATTGTTCCGTTGAGTTTTCCGAAATCCAGCAAAAATGTCTCTCCTTAAAAAATTGTTGAGAGTTACAATGTTTGCTGTTGCAAGTTCTGCACGTAATAGAATTATCAGGGCAATTTCCACATCCTTGTTTAGTGAATTTTTCGAAAGCCGTTTCCTCGGATTTTGCTGAATTTTTTAAATAAAATTTTACTCAGAGGAGACGATAGACCTTTTAAAATATCCACATTAATATAACACATCTTCTTATCACAAGGTCTTTTTCCCTCTGTTTCCTCCCCAGATTCCTCCCTCTCATAGCAAAATATAGTTTCGTCTGATTTGTTTCTAGAATTGCATTTCAAATCACGACAATCAACACAAGATACGTTAATTTTGTTCTCGTCACAAGTTCCGCAACCGGCATTAAAATCTTTAAATATAGATGGATTTTAGGTGGAAAGATTGATACAGCCAAATCTTGGGATACTAACTCGAACGTATGGAGAAAATTTTCGCGGGTGCCGGAAAATTGGGCTCTGGAAAATTGGGCTCCAAGATTTTTCGGAAATTTGGGCTCCAACTTTTCGGAAAATTGGGCTCCAGCGGTAATTCGGGCTCTGCGTGAAAAAATCGGAATATTGGGCTCTAAAATTTTGGGCTCCGGAGGAATTTTGGGCTCTGAGGAAAAAAGTCAAATTATGCAAACCTACGGAGCGAAGTCGAGTTCTGGGTTCGGAACCTACGGCCAGTTGGTCTGGGTGAGTACTTGGCCCTATTCCTTTACAGTATACTCAAATTGGTTCAAATTGGTTGGTCCGATTCAGTGGAATTTGATAAAGAAATCCTATTCCTTCGAATAACAGTTGGGCGTACACGCAAAATCTCCCGATTTCGAAGACTCATCTCTAATTTTTGCATAATTTGACTTTTTTCTCAGAGCCCAAAATTCCTCCGGAGCCCAAAATTTTAGAGCCCAATATTCCGATTTCTTCACGCAGAGCCCGAATTACCTCTGGAGCCCAATTTTCCGAAAAGTTGGAGCCCAAATTTCCGAAAAATCTTGGACCCAATTTTCCAGAGCCCAATTTTCCGGACACCATTTTCGCTATATCGAGTTATATTAGAGAGACTCTTATTTAGAGAGTCAGAGACTGGCGAAAAGATACGAATTTAAATATATTTTCTATTAATTTGGTTGGAAATTGATTTGAGATCTGCAATAATACCGTCAATTTATGCCAACTCTCATTATCAGAACGAATTTTCAGCACAAAATTCGAAGGTTCGGTTCCTGCCCGGTAGTTAAACTTTTGCTAAACTCTTTCAATATAGACTAATCTTGAAATAATGAACTCGAATTTAACGAAGTTAGGTTCGTTAAGTCTAATAGTTCGTTATATCAAGTCATTTTAGGGAAAAAATATTTTTTAGATATGGTTCTGCGTAATTTGGAGAGATGAGATGTATCATATAACCAGAGATGTATCATATAATGAAGTCCAATTTTACATTTTAAATACCTTTGTCAATATAACAGTCAGGATTTGGACATTCCAACAATGTCTTTTCATCAGAACCAAAGCAATAATAGGGAAATTTATTTCCATCATTACAAAGATGTTTAGTACATGTTTTGCATGTTGGGGAAGCACAATTCCCACAACCCTTATTTACTTTAAAGTATAAAATTTCAAATCTTTATAAGTTATTTTACATTTATTTGTGCTAGTTCTCTCTGTAAAACAATTATCATAATATCCAGTTGAACATGTGGTGCCATTATTAGTCCAACAATGTTTAACCCCAATTGTTCTATGGTTACAAAAATTTTTTTTGCAATTATTGCAATCAGCTTCAGTGCATTTCCCACATCCTTGTTCCACTAAAAAATAATTTTATTCTTGAATTCCAGATCTCTCACTTTTCCCATCCGAGTGTCGTTGAAAGAAGCATTCTTCCTCACATTGTTTTAGAGACCTTTTGTATACAACCAACTTATCTTTTTCTTTATTTAAACAAAATAGACTTTCATTAAACAATTTTTTAATATTGCAGAGGTGTTTATTTTGGCACTTGGCTGCCAGTACATTCGATTCTGTCCATGAAGTTTTATCACCACAGCCTTGTTCAACTAAAATTATTTCACATTTAGTATTTCTGTTTAATATAAAGATTTAAGGCTTGTCTTGTGTGATATTAAATACCAATTGTACATTATTAATAGAAACAATGGATAGACCAATAGGGGGGGACACGCCCAAGTAGGCGCGCGGCCAAGTAGGCGCAAAGCCTTAACTACCTGAAAAATTTATGGTCCTTAACAATTTTGGTACCATTCTCTTTAATACCAAATTTGGTAAGATTCTGAAATTTTGAAGCAAGTTATGACTTTGCGCCTACTTGGCCGTGCGCCTACTTGGGCCGTACCCCAATAGGGGGTATTTGTGGATATATACCAATTATTCTGTTCGGTCCCATGAACCGACAGCCCTAGTTACTCATTCATTACAACGATAAATCCGTTTTATACCTTTACTGTCATTGATGACAGCATAGTAGCAAACATCTCCGTATTCAGAAATTTTGCATGGAATGGTTGTATTATTTTCAGCCCAACAATAATGACTGTCCTTAAACAATGTTTCGTTGTTACAAAGCGAAGAATTGCACGTTTGGCATGGAATAGCTGGAGAAGGGCATTTGCCACAGCCTTGTCGAGCATATTTTTTCAAATCTCCCTCAGATTCTCCTTAAATTTATTTGGGTATTTGGCAATCATTGTTGTCAACCTTTAGTTATATCGGCCGAGATGAAACACTTCTTCTCGGTACAGGGCTTTCTCCCTTCTTTCTCCTTTCCATTTTCTTCTTTTTCATAACAAAATACAGTCTCATTTAATTTATTTCTAGAATTGCATTTGAAGTCGCTACAATCTACACAAGATATGTCTATTTTATTTCCATCACAAGTCCCACAACCAGCATTTAAATCTAAACTCAATTAACTAGGTTATTAACTAGGTATGCTCAGGCTGTTACTATTATCAATATAACAGTTAGGAGATGGACATTCCAACAAGCTCGTTCCATCAGAATTTAAACAATAATAGGGGAAAATTGTTCCATCATTACAACGATGGCCAGTACATGTTTTGCATGTTGCAGAAGTACAATTCCCACACCCCTTGTTTACTTAAAATCCAAAATTTTATAAAATATTAGCTCAATTAATATTCGTTTTACATTCATTTGTCTCAGTTCTCTCAGTAAAACAATTATCATAATATCCTGTTGAACAGGTCGACCCATTATTAGTCCAACAATGCTTAACCCCAATCTCTTTAGTATTACAAAATTTCTGTTTGCAATTTCTACAATCATTTTCTTTACATTTTCCACACCCTTGTTCCACTAAAAATAAATTTATACATAAAATCTGAACAATTGACAAACATGTTCCATTTTTGTTTCGACTTGTATAACATTCCCCTTCTTTACAGTATTTTATGGAATTTGGCTCTGTAATGTTTTCCTTTACCAAACAATAAACACTTTCATTGAAATGTTTCTCTGAGTTACATAGTGTAGTGTTGCATGTTTGGCACGGAATGGATGTATTTGAAGGGCAATTGCCACAGCCTTGTCGAGTGTAGTTTTTTAACGCTGCTTCTTCAGATTCACCTGAAATTTAGCTTCATTAGGGATACACAAAATATATCCTAATTGAAACATTAAAAAAGCTGAGACCAAGACTACACCTCAACTCTAAGCTCGAAATCATATAATATCTCTTAACTGAAAGTCGAGACCACGATCGAATTTCTCCAAATGATAAGCCAATTTTTTCTAGATATCTGGGCTGTGTTCCTAATTCTAGGTGAGCATATTTAGGGCTTTGATGAGGAGTGAAAGGATATTTAAAAAAATTCTTAGTTACCTTTAAAAAGGTCCACAGAAATATAACAAATTTTCCCTTCACAAGGCCTTCTCCCTTCATTCTCCTTCCCATTTTCTTCTCTTTCATAACAAAATACAGTTTCTTCCAGTTTAATTCGAGAATTGCATTTAAAATCTCTACAATTAACACAAGAAACATTAATTTTGTTTTCATCACAAGTTCCGCAACCAGTTTTAAAATCTTAAAGATTTAGATGAAAATTGAGAATTGCCTGAAGGATCCTCGAAACAATGATTAAGAGATGGAACTGAGTTTAATAGAGGTGGTCTCTCTCTAAAACTCCAGTCCAAAAATACCAATGAAGAGATTTTTGTATGTAATTTGAGAATCCATAGCTATGTCACTTTCCAACCCCAAAATCAACCTACATTTATCTATATAGCAATCCGATTTTTTACATTCAATCGGACTTTTTCCATCGTAATCCAAACAATAATAAGGCAAATTCTTTCCATCATTGCATTCGTGTTTATTGCAAGTAATACATGTTTTAGTAGGACAATTCCCACAACCCTTGTTGACTTGAAAATGGTAAAAATTTAATAATTAATAAAAGAAAATTAGGAAGTTATTGGGACGGCACGGGAATAGGTACTCCATTACTCTGTGTAATTATTATTGTTTTCAAAGAGGTCGGCATGGAATGGGATACTTATAGAATTTTCCTTTTAGTCCCAAAATCCTGATTTTTTCGATTTTAAGAGTTGGTGGGTTATTATAATCAACACTTTGGAATCTCGTCTCGTTCAACATCTGAAAGCCGATTATATCCCATTGATGGATCGAATACCAGGGTGAATTCAATTTCTCACGAGACTAGTTTTGTTTTAAAAATCGCAAGTACTAAGGAATTAAATAGAATCATAAAGGCTTTCTTTCTTGATTTTGCTCTCACTCTCCCCCTAATTCTCATTTTCATCTCCCCCTCTCATTCTTTGTTTTCATTCCAAAATTTGTTTAAAATTTTCTACCTTTATTATTTTTCGTTCTCTCCATAAAGCAAGTTTCATCAGGTTTTGCATAACACATATTTTTAGTATTTGTATAACACTTTTTGTAACCCTTTTCTTCCACGTTACAAAAATTTGTCTTGCAATTTGTACAGTATTTGTCATTGCATTTCCCACATCCTAGATCTAAAATTAAAATCAATTAAAACTAGATTATAACGTATATAGATTCTTAATTCCAATTTTAGTCGAAAATAATTTTGCCTGTCCAAATTCAATTGATCTTCCGAAAATTCGGTTTTGAATTGGCTAACATATTTCTCAGATATTTCTATTTTGGCATTTTAAATAATTATTGTTTTAATTATTATTGTTTGTAATTAATTAAATCGTTTATTATTATCACTTAGTCGGGAATTGGCATCGGGAGTCGGGAGGCCAAAAACTTGGGAAATTTCCCGAGTCGGAAGTCGGGATACCCGAACATCACTACTATATAGGCGCCTATTTTTAAATTTTTAGTGCCTAAAATCCTAACTCTAATTATAGTGTACATAGGTATATTATAATGGATTCTATCAGACTAGGACACGGATACTAATTTTGGTATCCGTATCCGGAAATTTACGGCGGATACAACGGATATCCGCAGGCATTTTTACAATATCCGTATCCATTGTAAGGCCGGGTTCATCCTGAAATCACGTGAACAATAATGTTGCTCTAAACTTTGTGCTAAGTAACGGAAGTTCCCAGTGAAAAGGCAAAGAACGCCACAAACGGCCATTCCCAGAGAGTTATTAGCCGCCCATTATCTAAGCTTAACATCGCCACTAACTTATCCTTGGGAAAGCAATAAGGAAGTAGGCTGGTGCATATAAGCTCTAATGGAATAGGCAAAGGCAGATCACTTCTTCATTCATTCAACAGAGTTGCCGGCCGGCCAATCCATCCTTGAAGGGAAGAGCGCTCTCCCTATATTCCCCCACTGCGATTCACCTATTTCTATACTCTGCGGAGTTCACACATGATTGCAACATGCGCGTCTCTGCTAAAACATCAACTAATAAACGAGGCACTGGGGAACGGGACCAACCGCTTTACTCCATTCTATAAAAAACGGATTCTATAAAATTTCTATAAAAAACTATAAAAAACGAACATAAGACTTCGCTGCGTTGATGATAACATGCTTTATGATCTTCACCACACGGTTCACTCATCTTTGATATTTCATTCGTTATTTTTCCTATATTCACCGTCAGACAAAAAAGTTTGCTTTCAAAAAATTCTTTTGTATTACAAAGGTGTTTATTTTGACATTTGGCAACTTGGACATTTTTCTCAGTCCATGAAGTTTTATCTCCACACCCTCGCTCAACTAAATATAATTTTATAATTAAATTTTTAGACCTATTTAGAGAATATAGTTTAGGTTTCGTAACTTGTACCATACCGTATTTTCTCTAAAATAGCCCCACCCTCTAAAATAGCCCCACTAGAGGACGATCGAAAAAAATAACCCCATGGGACTATTTTAGAGAAAATACGGTATATTTTGGTAATTCTTCGGTTCGTATTCCCCCTTTTTTTCTGACCATTTTTTCATTTTTGCTTCCCTTTCACTATTAGTTTTCATGAGAAAAGTTATTTAATACCTTTCTTATCATTAATAACAGCATAGTAACAGAATCTTTTATGTTCCGAATTGCATTCCTTAACTGTGCCAGACGTATCCCAGCAATAATGTTTTTCTTTATAAAACTTTTCTGTGTTACATTCTTTTGTGTCGCATGTACGGCACGGAATAGTTGTAGAGGGGCAGTCTCCACAACCTTGTTTAGTATATTTTTTCAAAGCAGTTGCCATATCTCCTCCAGCTAAATTTAAAATTTAAATCCAAAAATCTTCATTTTTGCGCCACAGATAGGGGCATAAAAATACTCGGTTTTAACCGAGTCAGCCGAGTATGAAGTGTCCGAGTACGAGTAATCCGAGTATTAGGATTCCGAGTTCCGAGCCCGAGTAGTAAATGCGAAAAAACCCGAGCGATCGAGCCGAGCGATCGAGAACTCGAGTTACGCTAGTTATATCTCCAAGGTTTCGTGACTTTTGCGCCGAGAACATTTGCGCCGCGACTTTTGCGCCGGGCGACTTTTGCACCGCACTATCATTAAAAATATATGAATAACTACAGCCAGACCTTACTATAGTAGGTTTTCGGATAGTTGGAAATCTTCGGATATAAAGTGTTTGTTTGTAGTGCATTCTACTTTTATGACCCAAACCTAATTCATAAGCTGCCGGACCCCTATTGCACTTCCTGAACTTCCTTCAGTTCCTGGATACCATTTTTTAAACCAAGGCGTAAAAGTCCGATTGTAGTTATGATTTATTTTTTCAAAATAATGGCGGCGCACAAGTCGCGGCGCAAATGTTCTCGGCGCAAAAGTTGTGATACCATCTCCAAAATATCTTTTGTTGCCTTTTGTATTGAGATTCGCTTGTATGTATAGTTTTAATAGTTCATATATGTATTTTTATTTCACATATTAGAATTTTACTTATTTATAATCTTACGAATATGTATGTACCTTTCGTAATATCAACAGAAATATAGCAATTTCCCTTTGCACAGCCTGTTAATGCAATGCGTTCCTTTCCGTTTTCTCCTCTTTCGTAGCAAAAGAGATATGCTTCTCGTTTATTGCATTTGTTAGTGTTACATTGATAACAGGGTTCACTTCCTGTACATATGCCACATCCAAATTTCCATTTTCTTGCATCTATTTTCTTAACGATGCAACCATAACCAGATAAACAATACTCAACATTAGATTGTTCCTGTGTTGTATAACAAGTCAGAATGTGAGATAAAATAAATGGTATGGAATTACAGGAATCAGTTGAACATTCATAGCAATTTTTATCGTTATCACATCTACCACAACCTCGTTCAACTTAGATAATTTAATTTTATAATTTAATTTTATAATTCTGACACGCATAAAGAGGATTTTTTCGAGGAACCGAAACTTTAAAATTTTCCAAATCTCGTAATTGTGGGTTATCCCAACAAGTTATCCCAATTTAGGCGCAGAATTACTTTGAAAAAAAATAGAAAAATATGTAAAAAATGTAAGATCCGGATAAAAGAAAAAAAAGATCCGGATCCTTACCTACACTCACTTCTGAATGCATAAAATTTTTTTGGACTCTTCGATTTTTAAAATTTTTGTATGATTATAAAGCTAAGACTCTGGGCTACAAAATAAGATTAAAATAAAATCGGATAAAAATAGTTATCACTGAAAAAATAAGTGATAAAAAAATGCGACATTTTTTATGACTCAACCTAGTAGTAATTGTGCTCATTAATGATAACAGAATTGTATTCACACTAAAGAGACTAGGAATATTATGATTAAATAATAGTATGTCTTTTACACTATAAGCCAATTCTCAACATTGAGCAATTATACAAAAACCAAAATAATTTTTTAAATAAACATAAGGTCTCCATAATGTTTAAAGTTCAAATTAAACTTGATTACCAGAGGTCACCGTGGTAGATTCCCCGTATGCGCTTGCATAACAAGTTCCTGGAGTTCCACATTTTTCATTTGTATCGAGCCAGCATTTTCTAGCCCAGCAATATCCAACAAAAAGCTTGAATATATTGCAATTTTTTAACATTTTATAAATTAGTTCAATTGAGAAAGAGAGAGTTTAATAGACTAGATTTTGTTCCTATAATTTACAACTTCTATCTCAGTAAAGCATATTGAATTAGTTTTTTCTCATAAAAGACTTAAAACGATAGCGAAATGATAATTAACCAGGGCTCCGATTCGTACTTTATTTGAAAGTACAGTACTTTAAGATCGACCTCCGTAGTTACAAAATTGAATTTCTACTTTATTAAAAGTATGTACTTTAAAATCAACATTTTGAAAAAAGTGGAAGAAATCTGGCTTAAGGATCTTTAAAATTCTCAAAATTTTCGCCTGCGGTGCAAAAAATAGAATATTTTGTGTCGCCATAGGCGCACAAAAAAGCGCATTGAAATGCACGAAATGCTCAGTGGAAACAAGAAATTATTAGAAAATTCGCTAAGCATATTTTGCGCCATAATTCCTTTTCCGAATGTCCAAGTTCAATCTCATACTTGAACTGGACGCTAATTTCATAATTTTGCCTTAAACTTTAAAAATTCATAAAAAATTTTTAAATAAAGAAAAAATTTCAAATCTTTCAGAAATTGAAGAAGGCATTATTGTGAATATATGACAAAAAAATTAAACAGATTGGAGATCTGAACATTGAGATATACATTTTCAAACTTTAATGATTTAAGGGGGCTAATTATTTATGTTACACCCTAATAATTTAGGAGAGAAATATAAAAGATATGAGCACGAATAAATATTTTCTAATTTAATTTCGAGTGTACTTTAAATTTGGAAATTTTGTCCCTATGTCCTTTGAAATCGAGATTTTTGTACTCTAGATTGTAATTTTGTCGATCGGAGCCCTGTAATTAACCATTTTCTGTTTACATTGAAATCTTTTATTCTTTCTTAATTATTGCTAACTTATCTCTGGCTTATTATCATTGTGTATCAAGAACACAAAGAAAACACAAAAAAGAATTTTATAAATTAATTTTTTAATTAGATGATTTTAAACGAGGTTAAAATCTGAAACTAAAATTACCTCGTGGGCCTTTTCTTTTTTTCACAAAAATTATTTTAATAATTTTTATAATTTAAGTAAAAATACCTGTATAATCAGAATTAAATTTAATATATAATTCATCAATGATAATAATAATAATATAATGTAAAGTATATATACTAAATACTCTGTTTCAAAAGTATATCCCACCTATATTTTTAGCTTTATCCATGTGATATTGCTATATATTTTTCTTAAATTTTTTATTAAAAATAATTTGCTTCTAAATGTCATGGTATTTAATTAGGGTTGGACAAACCCGTTTAATTTTGAAAAAACCGTATACCGTTTATGCCGTTTATCTGAGCCCCGTATACCGTTTCGTTTAATTTTACGAAAAAACCCGTTTACCGTATACCGTTTACCGTTTAGCTAAACGGTTTTGTCCAACCCTATATTTAATCATGAAAAATTTAAGAAAAATTTATAGCGATATCACATGATAGAGCTAAAAATATAGGTGGGCATGTACTTTTGGAACAGAGATATACATATGTCGGTTAGATTTTGCCCTTTTTTACACGTATGTATTTTTCAAATTTGATCAAGTCACTCTTTGAATTAGTGACCGGTCTGAGAGTTCGTACGAGGATAGTAGGTATGATATCTAGAAATTATTAATAACCATAATTTATTTTCGAGATCTCGATTTAGTTCAGTTTCTCATTTGAAAAGTTGAAAAACCGTTGAATATAAAAATCATTGAATAAATTTAATGTATATAAATAAGCTAGCGAGTGATACGAGACAAAAGCTTGCCAGGGCAGAAGCAAAAAAGGTACCCAAAGTCAACCTTACATATGTACAATGAAAGGTACTTTTCCGTTATGACGTAACCCCCTAAATTAATGTTCAGAATGTCATATATAGGGTAGAAAAAGGTGCTGAGTTAAACGGTACTACTCTTTTTTCCCGGAGATGCCTGAGGACCGAGATATAGGGCTCGAAATGGTCAGAAACCATAGGAAGGAGTGCTCCTCGCCTACGCGCCATGGTTTACGTTGACCATTTTTAGCTTGTTCATCTCGTCTCAGAATCAAGATTTCGAGATGATTTTGGTGTCATTCGACTCAGCTCGAGAAGCTCTTTCGAATGAGCTATCATTTGCAAAATCGAATTTCTCACCCCAAAATTAAGCTTACTCCCTCCTATGGTTTTTGACCATTTCGAGCCCTATATCTCGGTTCACAGGCATCTTCGAGAAAAATTAGTGGTACCGTTCGACTCAGCACCTTTTTCTAGCCAGTATATGACATTTTGAACATTAATTTAGGGGTTACGTCATAACGGAAAAGTACCCAATGAAAAATATAGTTTTAGCGAAATATTAGAGTATTTACTGGGAAATATTATTGAAAAATCTAGTTATTTCCGCCGACACATAAATTTTTATAAATTAATAAAGTGAATACTAATTGTCAACCAGCTAGTTAATATTTTTTAGCCTTAATTTAAATATTAAATAAATAAATATTGATGGTGATAAATTGTAAGAGAAACTAAAATAAACGGTTTAATTAACTAATAAATTTTTACATAATAATTTAAATGATTCATTATTACATTTTATTTAATATTTTCATAAAAATATTTTTGCTGGTAAAGCTAAGAGAAACGATCGGTCTATTTAGTTAAGCTAGCTGTTAAAAGATTTGATGAATATTTTTATGAATTTTTCGAAATCTATGATGATTTAATGTCTAATCTGCGGATTTGTATTTTTCGAGTCAGTAAGATATCAATAAATTTTCGAGTTTATATTGAATTATATTTACATATTTAAAGCAGTGAAACTTATTTTGAACAAGATCTATTGCCCTGTCACCGTTAGCTGTTTTAAACATAATCAAAAACTAAGAAAATTTTTATCACAAAATTTGAATATATGCAATATCTTTTAAAGATAAATTTTTATATGAAGCTGTATCATGTTGGCTCTTGTTCAGTTTTCTTGCCTTGTAAATTTTTTTGGATTGGATGTTTATATTGGATATTTAATAACAAGATTGACACCCTGCTATTTTGGCTGATCAAATAAAATTGAAAAAGAGCCATAAAAATAAAAAAATATTGATAGATTTTAAAAAATAGTAATCATGTTCAAAATATCTAATAAAGTCGGAACACGAATTTAAGATACTCCAAAATTAGATACTTCTCATTTTAAATACGATTTTTCACTTGCAAATGAATCTTAATTCGTGTTCGACTAGCAAAATTTTTAAAATTTTTCAAAAAGTAAAAAATCTTTTTTTTGTTTTGATTTTTTATCTTTTTTTTGTTGTTTTTTCCAGTTTTTTGTATAGTGAACTCTTTGAGTTTCTAATTTTTTCCTTCTTGTGATACGTTACTTCGAAATGTTTTTAAAATATTTTTTGTTGTTTTTTTTTCCAAAATTTTCATTTAAAAAAATCTCATCAATATGTAAATCTAAAAAGTTTTTTTTGTATTTTTGTGTTTTGTTGTGTTTTTTTGTATTTTTGTGTTTTTTTGTATTTTTGTGTTTTGTTGTGTGTTTTTGTATTTTTGTGTTTTTTTTGTATTTTTTGTGTTTTGTTGTGTTTTTTTGTATTTTTTGTGTTTTGTTGTGTTTTTTTGTATTTTTGTGTTTTGTTGTATTTTTTGTATTTTTGTGTTTTGTTGTGTTTTTTTGTATTTTTGTGTTTTGTTGTGTTTTTTTGTATTTTTTGTGTTTTGTTGTGTTTTTTTGTATTTTTTGTGTTTTGTTGTGTTTTTTTGTATTTTTGTGTTTTGTTGTATTTTTTGTATTTTTGTGTTTTGTTGTGTTTTTTTTTGTATTTTTGTGTTTTGTTGTGTTTTTTTGTATTTTTGTGTTTTGTTGTGTTTTTTTTTGTATTTTTGTGTTTTGTTGTGTTTTTTTGTATTTTTTGTGTTTTGTTGTGTTTTTTTGTATTTTTGTGTTTTGTTGTATTTTTTGTATTTTTGTGTTTTGTTGTGTTTTTTTTTGTATTTTTGTGTTTTGTTGTGTTTTTTTGTATTTTTTGTGTTTTGTTGTGTTTTTTTGTATTTTTGTGTTTTGTTGTGTTTTTTTGTATTTTTTGTGTTTTGTTGTGTTTTTTTGTATTTTTGTGTTTTGTTGTATTTTTTGTATTTTTGTGTTTTGTTGTGTTTTTTTTGTATTTTTGTGTTTTGTTGTGTTTTTTTGTATTTTTGTGTTTTGTTGTGTTTTTTTTTTTGTATTTTTGTGTTTTGTTGTGTTTTTTTGTATTTTTTGTGTTTTGTTGTGTTTTTTTGTATTTTTGTGTTTTGTTGTATTTTTTGTATTTTTGTGTTTTGTTGTGTTTTTTTTGTATTTTTGTGTTTTGTTGTGTTTTTTTGTATTTTTGTGTTTTGTTGTGTTTTTTTTGTATTTTTGTGTTTTGTTGTGTTTTTTTGTATTTTTGTGTTTTGTTGTGTTTTTTTTGTATTTTTGTGTTTTGTTGTATTTTTTGTATTTTTGTGTTTTGTTGTGTTTTTTTTGTATTTTTGTGTTTTGTTGTGTTTTTTTGTATTTTTGTGTTTTGTTGTGTTTTTTTGTATTTTTGTGTTTTAATTGTGTTTTTTTGTGTTTTTGTGTTTTGTTGTGTTTTTTTGTATTTTTGTGTTTTGTTGTGTTTTTTGTATTTTTGTGTTTTGTTGTGTTTTTTTTTGTATTTTTGTTTTTTGTTGTGTTTTTTTGTATTTTTGTATTTTTTGTTGTGTTTTTTTGTATTTTTGTGTTTTTTTGTGTTTTTTGTATTTTTGTGTTTTAATTGTGTTTTTTTGTGTTTTTGTGTTTTGTTGTGTTTTTTTGTATTTTTGTGTTTTGTTGTGTTTTTTTTTGTATTTTTGTGTTTTGTTGTGTTTTTTTTGTATTTTTGTGTTTTGTTGTGTTTTTTTTTGTATTTTTGTGTTTTGTTGTGTTTTTCTGTATTTTTGTGTTTTGATGTTTTTTTTTGTATTTTTGTGTTTTAATTGTGTTTTTTTGTTTGTGTTTTGTTGTGTTTTTTTTTATTTTTGTGTTTTTTGTGTTTTTATATCTTTTTTTTTAATTTCCCTTCTTTTAAATAAAAATATCATAACTTTCCATTTTCCCAAACTCTAATAAACTTCAATGAACATGCACTGCAATAAGATAAAATCCTAAAGCATAAACAGCAACAAGTGACAAAACAATTATCAACGTAAACCATGGTCCACAATCCCATTCAACATAACGTTTTTGACGAATATTGTTTTGACTTCCAGTTACGTTATTTAAAATATCGTTAAGGCATCCTTGATTTTTAAAATTATTTTTATCATCAGCATTGTGGAAACTTATTGTTGTTTTACATGTTATATTACTTGATTTGTTTTGACAGAAATTATCTAAAATAATTTAAGCTTTTTTATATTTTTTGACACTTTTGATTTATTTAATTGAGTTATTTAATAAATTAAAATTATAAACATAATTTAAGACAATAAGCTAAGGTATGGTTTAAGTCAGGGTTATGCTCCAGGGTGCGCCAGGGTGCGTCGTAATTACGAATTCGACATTTTTGAGTTACAAATTACGATTACGAAATTTTTTTTAGATTACGAATCATGATTACGAAAAATTTTTTATAATTACGATGCTTCTCTGGTAGGCGCAACAGACAATCTTTAAAAATGCACCGCAAGGTCAACATTTAACGCAAATAACGCATTGCGTCCACCCAGGTCTCAGTGAAGTTGGTCATGCATAACAAAAAAATTTTCTAACCTAAAGCAAATACTGGGTTTAAATGTTTTATATACTTGATAATTTATTTTCGTTTACTTATTATTTTGGAAGGTATAAAAAATTTTTATCTTGTTCTCCCAAAAGTAAATATAGGTATCCCAAAAGACGATAGAGTTGTAATATAATAACTGAAAACGTTAATGAAATCTGCCCATCTATAGTATTCTTAGATCTATTTTAAAATAAGAAACAACCTTTTTGCGTTTTATGAATACTTCGTTTGTAACGGAAATAAGGATGGTTTACTGGTATTCCTATAACCACATTTTGATTTTCTGGATTTCCATAGTAATATTGTGGATTTCCTTCATATTGATGAGGTTGACTTGGCTCTGGATGAAAGTGTTGTTGCGGTAGTTCAATTTCGTGTTGTTGAGGAATTGTTGGAGAGTTGTTTCGTCGACGTAAAAGATTTTGAAAATCATTAATTTCGGGGAATCGGCATTTTAAATCCGCCAATCCTGTTGCGAAAAATGAAAGTACAAGAACTCCGATAAGGCTAAGAATTCCGTGGCAAATCAGTGCATTGGCCATGAGTAGTATATACTAGGGTAATATAACATTTATAACAGACCAAAAACTCAGTTTTATTACAAAAATTTAAAAAGGAGAGGAAAAATTTTAAAAAAGAAAAATTCTATGTAAAAGCTATAGGGTCGAATAACGATAAATAATTTTCTAAAAATAAAAACCAGTCGAATAAGTCGAGAGGTTCGAAATGCTTTCGCTTGGTGAAGAAAAAGCAATAATAAAAAATTTTTAACCTATAGGGTCGAATAACGATAAATAATTTTCTAAAAAATAAAGGTCGAATAACGATAAATAATTTTGAAAAAATGCAGGAAAAGTCTGCAGGTATTCTAAATGTTTTCATCTAGCGAAGAAAAAAAGCAATAATCAGGTGTGAAGATATGTCGAATAACGATAACTAATCAGAAATAAAACATTATAAAGGAATAGGAAAATAAAAACAATAAAGCGCGTATAAAAATAAAAATTATAAAAATTAAATGTAAGAATAATAAATAGTGAAAAAAGTAAAAAAATAAAATGTAAAAAACAAAAAAATATAAAAAAAAAAATAAAAAATAAAATAAAAAATAAAATGTAAAAAACAAAAAAATTAAAAAAAAATAAAATAAAAAAATAAAAAATAAAAAAATAAAATAAAAAATAAAAAAATAAAATAAAAAATATAAAAAATAAAATAAAAAAATAAAATTTAAAAAATAAAATAAAAAATAAAATAAAAAATAAAATAAAAAAATAAAATTTAAAAAATAAAATAAAAAATAAAATAAAAAATAAAAAAATAAAATTTAAAAAACAAAATAAAAAATATAAAAAATAAAATAAAAAAATAAAAAATAAAATTTAAAAAATAAAATAATAAATAATAATAAATAAATTATAAATAAATAAATAAATTATAAGAAATAAATTATAATAAAATAAAAAATAAATGAAAAAAGATCAGAAAAATATTTGCTTAAATACCACCAGGGCTTCGAGGAACATTCGAAAAAAGCTACTAATGGATAAAAAAAGGGGGGCACTAATGGATCCACTAATGGGCACTAATGGATCCATGCGCATGATCTAATGGAGACAAAAATTAATTAAGTGCACTAAGTGGATCGAAAGAATGTGACTAATGGATTTTAAGCATGTGACTAATGGATTTTAATCATGTGACTAATGGATGTTAAAATCAATTAATAGAGATAAGTGGTATGGTTTACAGTTAATGGATAAAAAAATGTGAGGGAAGGGTTAATGGGCGATCAAAGTACATTGAGTTCTCGAGTATAAAAAGCGATCAGTTTTCAGTAGTCAGCATCAGTTTTAAAACATCGTCTCTTCCGCCCAAATCCCCAAATATTTAAATATTTTATCATTAATAAATTTTTCTATTAAATACTAAGGAACATTTTTTAATTTTAATAAATTGTATTATAATTTAAATAATTTTAATAGTTTTAAATCTATTTTTTCTGTTTCTTTATTTCAAAAGAAATTAGACGAAAATGGCAGAAAAAAGGACTGCAAAAATGCAAGGCAGGGAATAAAACATTTTTATGATAATAACTCATAAATGCATTTTATTTTCTGAAGGTGGCGAAGAACATGAGCAAAACCGTCCCAACAGCGGCAACAGCTGTGACAAAGGTAAGTAAAGGCTCAATTAGTGGAAAGAAAAAATATCCAGAAATTGATCTTTACTTAAGGCGATGAAATTGAAGATTTGAGCGCAGTTGAGCTCGAAGAAATACGCTCCTTCATACGGGAGCAAAAAAAGAAGAAAATCGCCGCAGAAGCCCGGCGCAAACGCTCGCTTACGACTACATCCAGCTCAGGAAAATCGGGAGGTTGTCCTCCTCCTGTTCCAAAGAAGATAAAGGCGCCAAATAAAAAGGTAAAAATATATTCTAAGTATAAGGAAAAATAATTTTTTAGAAAGATGCTGACGAAAAGTGGCTAAACGTAATGTATAATGAAGAAGAGGAAGATGAATCTGATGAACCAGAAAAAGATGAAATAATAGAATTAGGAAAGGACGAAGATGAATATAAGCAACTACGCCATGAGCGTGAAGAGAAAAAACGTAAGTATTGTTTAGGCCTCATTAAATTTAAATTTAGGATATTACAACACTATACCGCAACAACTGTTAATTCAATCAGATTTGCTTAAAAATCCCAGAAAAGGGATATTTGTCCACCAGTGTAATACCTGTAAGGAACAACAAATGCAGAGAGAAGAATATCTCTTCAAGGGTGGAGCAAACGGGATATTTGTGCTCACGATAGAACTATGTGGTGATGATCTGGATAAAAATATTTCTCTCGCGGACTTTTATGGGCAAAGCTGGGGTAGGAAATAAAAATATATTCATTTTATAAAAATTTAAGGAGAGAGCGCTGTCGAAAAAAAAGAGGAAAACGAGGCGGGGCACTCGCAATCAAAAACATCTTTCGAAAAAGGTAATTAAAAAAATAAATAAAAATTGTTTTTTAGTAGCAGGAGTTCTATGCTATAAACTTGGGAACAGTTGTCAAAGTGATGGGGACAGAAAACTACTGCGCTACAAATACGCATGGATAATACACCAAGTAATAATTTAAAAAATAATTTATCAGAAAAGAGTTTTTAGTGCGTTAAATGTGAATCTATGCAGAAAAGCCAGGCGCGGGACTTGTTCTTACAAAAGATTGGGCTTGCTTATGATAGAGGCACTATGTATACACTCAATTTCATTGTAAAGAATTCTATTTTTATGAAAATAATGAAAATTTTAGTGTTGCTCGGGATGCCGTGTTATGAACCGAGACTTCCATGGAATGATAACTAAGAATTTTAATAATTTTAAAAAAGATTAAATTTTTGTGTTGATAAAACTCTAAAATAACTAATTGTTAATAATTCTGTCTTGTTCAATTAAATATCTATAATCATAACCATTAATGATTTGATTTTGTTTTAGAATGGAAGGATCTAACAGTGCAAGCTGGGAAAAGGTAATTAAACTTAAATTTAAATTCAGTTTTTTTAATTTTAGATGAACTGGTTTGAAAGGGAAGAAATGAAGTTGTTCATTAAAGAAAAATGTAAAAACACAGCAGAATACGAAAATGCCCTACTTGAAGCAAAGAAGGAATCTAGAAAAATGAAGTGTGCACTTTATATGTCAACAATCAAATGGCATAGGAAAAACTACCCAGGACTTTCCCATGAACAGATAAACATGCTACTTGCAGAAAATCTAGGGATCATGGGCACCTCGGTAAAATAGTTACAATTTTTAAATAAAAATAAATTTAGGAAATGGCTAAACTTATTCAAGATCATCTTTTCCGGAAATTAGAAGACCCAGAAAATGAGCTGTGGAAAAAGATTGATATGTCTACGGCTGAAGGTCTGGGACTATTCAAAAGACAAGAAAGGGAACGTAAGTATTATATCAATTATTAATAAAACTTTTCTAGGATCACCAATAATTATAATGAGGGAAGACGAACGTGCAACCACATCGACACAATATGAGGAGGCTCCAACGGTGGTGGTGGAGGATTTTTCAGAAGGTACGCCATAAAAAATATTCTAAATACGAATTTATAGATACAACAAATGAAAATGAAAGCGGATGGTGATATGCTTTTATAAATGTAACTTGTATAATGTATAAAATAAAAATCTCTTGGCTATTATTTTTTATATTTTGGTTGTTTACCTTTTGTATCTTTATTGATAACACTTTTTTTAAAATTATAAAACAACACAGATGGCCCATAACATCAAAAATTATTTTAGAGAGGATAGTATTGAACATATCCGTAGTAATCGTTTCAAAATTGGGGTTTTCAGGTACATTTAGAATAGAAAAATAAATAAAATTTTTATCCTTAGGGCTTCGTTTACAGTTGTAAATGCGGACAATGCACCACAAGGACGGGATATGCTGCTAGAACAACTAATAGACCACTTTTATTTACGTGCATATCGAGCTGCAGGAGCAAGATCTCAAAAGTGTTCAATTATTATTCGAAGCGCCGTGTTGGAGAGACCAATACAAGTTCCATATCGAGGGCTTGCACAGAACACACCTCAAGTAGTAATGGAACAGTTTGATAATGTTGACCAAAGCGGCCAACGTATGGGAAGGCCTTCTATATACAGCCAGCCGATAAATATTGAGGTATATTTTTGAATAAATTTAAATTTACAATTTAAAGATTGTTATGGGACCTTCGCACGAAGAGGCTCTCAGATTGTCCCGCAAGGATCGCGAAGGAAGTGGAAGAAAAAGAAGAGAGATACAGTATGGAATTGATGTCAACAATCTTATTTCGGTATGAAAAATTATATTAATAGTAATAAGGCATTTTTAGGTAAAAAATGAAGATTTATCGCCTCCTTACAATCGTCATTGCTTGATCCTAGCTGTTCAACTTACAATGCTATATATTTCTAAACCGAACACGCCGTTAAGCAATGTTCAATTTCATAGGATGACACAAGGATGTGGCGAAAAGTCAAAACAAAAGAGAACACTTCTTATAAAAGAAATGCTTTTACAAATGAAAAAACACAAAGTGCAATATCCTATGAAGGAAAAATTATACAACGTTGATGAACATGTTCCTCTTGTGCAGAAACTTTTGGATATTCTATACCCTGGACAGTATAGAATAGCTGTTTTTGGAGAAAGAGGCAAAGCAAGACCTGTTTGGAAAGGAAAAAAACGTGCTCGCAACGAACTGTGCCTCTTTGTGAAAGATGAACATTTCAGTGGGATAAGAAAGTTAAACACGTTCTTTGGAACAGACTATTACTGTCTTGATTGCGAGACTACTTATTCCAATAAGAAAACTCACCGTGCAAAATGCATAGCGAAATGTCCTCGCTGCTGTGGAATTGGAATAGATTATCCTTGTAATGAAATTGAAGGATATATGAAGCAATGCAGAAAATGCAATAATCTTTTTAGAAACCCAAAATGTTTTCAAGAACATATAATGAGGAACATTTGTAAACTGTACATGAGGTAAATTTAAGTCAATGTTAAATATTAAAATTGCAGATGTTTGGATTGCGGACAAATATACCGATCAAATACAAAGAAAGGATCATCTGATGAATCGGATGAGAACGTGACAACCAAACATCATGTCTGCTATTCCCGATTCTGTTCACATTGTCATTCAATCCATCGCACGGAGGAGCCGTGTTATGTCCAACCAATCGTTCCCAAAAAACAACAGGATTATATACTTGTAACTTTTTAGTTTTTGAAAAAGAAAAAAGTTTATTAAGGTTATTTTTGACTTCGAATGTTCTCTAATCTCGCCCACTCGAAATGCAGATGAGTGGCAAAGACTAGGAATACTTGCAAGAGGAGGTATGCCATCAAATGACGAAAATTATCAATTACATCACGTTAATTGTGTATCGGTAAGACGTGTGATTTATGAAAAAACATATTTTTAGGCTATGCTTCTATGCTCAAATTGTATTAATGATGATAAACTCTGGAAAGAAGAATATTCTATAAATTGTAGTATTTGTGGAAAAAATACAAAAAGAATAATTACATGGTCATCGGCAACCTATGTTAACCCTTTAGTGGAATTTATTGAATGGTTAATTTACGGTCTTGGAAAGGAAAGAAGACTTCCGACTTATGCAATTTCGCATTACGGCGGGTTGTTTTAGTTTGAATTAAATAATAATTGATAATTTAGGCGCTATGATATGCATTTGTTATTGGGCGAAGTAATGAAAATAACAGGAATAGAACCGAACATCACAAGATCAGGTAAATATTAGTAGTATTACAAAATTTACCGTTTTTATAGGTAATAAACTGTATGAAGTTCTTTTAAAAAGAACAAAAGATATTTGTCCAAGAATTTCTTTTCGAGATTCTTTTAACTGGATGGCTCTAAAATTAGAACAATTGCCAAAAGCACTTGGCTTGGAAATAGACGAAGGAGGAAAAGCGTTTTTTCCTCATGGATGGAACTTCAACAAAAACATGAATATAAAATTATCTGGCCTTCCAGATCGAAAATATTACTATCCTGAATCAATGGGAAAAGAAAGAAGGAAGATATTTGAGACATGGTACAAAGAGAACATAAATTTCCCTTTTTGTCTGGCAGAACAAATAGGTCTTTATTGTGAGCAGGATGTCCGAATTCTAGCTAATGCAGTTATAAAATTTCAACGACTATTTTTTGATCTCGCCCCTGAACCGTCAAAACGCGACGATGTTTTATCATCTTCACTCACTTTATCTAGTGCTTGTCTTCGGCATTTCTGTAAGCTAAAAATGATTACATTTACATTTTATTTAAGGTATAAACTACTTAAAGCCAATGGAAGTAGGGATTATTCCAGATAACGGTCTGTAAATTACTAAGGAATTATATAAGAATAATTTAGGTTATCACCGGGATAGTAATCAATCTGCGATTGCTCTTAAATATATGCAATGGCTGGAACATGAGACAGGATCCTATGTACAACATCAGAATAGCGCTATGGGAGAATTTAGACTACGTCTTTCAAATGGCGAAGTTCTAAGGCTAGACGGATATGTACGCAGATCACCCGACGACGAAGATATTGCTATAGAATTCTTAGGATGTGCATGGCACGGACATAAATGGTATGTATTTCTGTGAATAAATTAATCGAAAAATTTTAGTCTTTATAAGCCTCACGAGATTTGTTTGAACGGTAAAACGGCTCTTTATAATCGGGACAAAATGAAAGAACGAAGAAGGTGTATCAAAGAGGCAGGAATGGTCCCTTTCATGGTTTGGGAATGTAATATTAGGAAACAGTTGGAAGAAAATGAAGATATGGCCTTTTTCTTCAATGAATTGCCCGATATTGGTCCACTTTTTCCAAGAGACGCATTTCATGTAAATATTAAATTAAAACTATTAATTAAAATAACATAGGGAGGAAGAACAGGCCCTCAGAGCTTAAAATGTGATCTAGAAGAATTAGGACAATCGAATGAATATGAAATTACTTGCTACGATGTTGTTAGCCTTTATCCAGCTGTGAATTTCTATGGATATTATCCTATAGGTAAAAAATTTTAATAGATAAAAAAGAAATTATTAGGGCACCCAGAGGTGATTCAACTCAATAAAGCTGTAGATTGGAGACGTTCGGACCAATTATTTCCGTATCGTGGAATTTTTAAATTGTTTATTATTCCACCAGACGATCTTTACCTTCCTGTTATTCCAGAAAGAATTAACGGGAAATTGGTTAGTTTCAAGATCAATTTTTGATATAAAAATTAGGTTTTCCATCTTTGCCATCAATGTGCCATTGAAGCACCAACTGGTTTTCCTTGGAGAATGAAACATAAATATAGCCAACAATTAGGACAGGATCTTTGTACACATGAAGATAAAAAGAGAGGGTATGTTGCAACCGTCTGTACTGTTGAACTTGACCTAGCACTGAAGAAAGGATATCGTGCAACATGGATCTATAGTGTATATCATTGGGATAAATGGACAGATAAATTGTTACGTCCGTATGTTCAAGATATGATGAAGCTTAAAATTGAAGCAAGTGGATGGCCAAGCGCCGTTCTAGATCCAACAAATATTAACAACGAGGAAAAACTTAAACGTGAATTTATAATAAGAAATCAACAGAAATACGGTATAAAGTTGGACAAAGACAAAATTATTCGTAATGAAGGAATGAGATATATGGCTAAAAGTTGCAACAATTCATTGTTTGTTTATTTTCTATTCGAAATAAAAGAAAATTTTAGATGGGGACGCTGGGCTTTGCGTTGTAATTTATCAAAGGTATAAAGCTTTATAAAATTCATTCCTATTTAAAGGATTTTATCACTCGCTCTCCCGTTGAGTTACATGAAGTGCTTAACGATCCGAAGTTAGATGTCGGTGCTGTCGAGATGCTTGCCACAGATCTATTTGCTGTGCCATACCAATCAAAAAGAGAGTTTGTTCGTCCACACGACAAGTATAATATTGTTATTGCTCTAATAACGACAGCAACAGCGCGCGTTTTTCTTTACGACTATATGGATCAAATATTCAATGACCCAGACTGTAAACTTCTTTATACAGATACTGACAGTTGTTATATTGTTCATCCAAAGGGAAAGGCTCCTCCGTTCCATGTAGGAGATATGCTTGGAATGATGAGTCGAGAGTATGAAGAAAATCATATCTTATCAATTTACATTGGAGGTTGCAAACAGGTCAGTTGTATTATTATTATTACACAAATATTTTATTTTATAGTATGCAATGAAGATGCGCACAAAGAGCGGAGAGATAAAATATGTAGTCAAGTGTCGTGGATGTTGGGATAGCGCGGATTCGCCTCTTGACTTTAATCAATTAAAGGTAAAAATATAAATTAACATGAATATTTCTTTTCAAGAAAATGGTCAACGCCTATGGGAAGGATCAGGATCCTGTTGTACTTGAAAGAACACATTTCCGTCCAAACTGGCGCAAGGGAGAAGTCTCAACACGCTCGCAGAAACGGTATTATTAGATTTCTGGTCAGAAATAATTTATTTTTTAGCCGCTACGCCCCAATTTACGACAAAGGAATTATTGATGATAAGCTTGATTGTTACCCTTTTGGATATAGAGGAACCCCCGTTTCTAATCCTATTGAATAAATGTTTGATAATTATTCTTTTAATTAATTCTACGTTTAATACGCTAATATTTTTTACACGCTATTTATATTTTATATTTGAATTTCAGAATTTAAAGCAATGATCAGTGATCCAGATATGGGTTTGATTATTTTTCCTATTTAATTTAATTTCTAATTTAGAAAATCTTTCTGGACAATTCTCGAAAATGTATGTAAATCAAGAACCGCTGTGTTATAATTCGCACCCTCCAACAGAGATAATTGGAAAAGAAGGGCAAAAAATATTTATTTTTCAGTCCCGTCTATGCGGATTCAGTAACAGATTCCCATCAAAATTCTCGGTGCTAGGAATAAATTTTACAACAATGGAGAAATACTTTGTATGGCAAAAAGCACGCTACTTTGCAGATTTTGAAATTGCGGAGCATGTTCTGCAGCTACAAAATCCCGATCAAATATACCGTATTGGACTTCGTATTCGCGGATTTAAAAGTGAAGAATGGAATAAAGTTCGAGATAAGGTATTTTGAA